AGAAGTGAAAGCACCTACTCTTGCAAGCTACCAAATGAATTGTATGTGAGGATATCCATATTGGACTTGTGGATTAACATGTCCATCACCACAGGTGATGAACTGTTAGTTCTCGACACTAACGGACAGCACGAGTTCATCTGAATCAAGACTGACTCAGATGGCTCCTCATAAGTACAATATGTGAATCATGTTGCTCAATAAACAAACGGCTTCCCATATAAATTGTTTTTTCTTAGGTTACTGTAGTACCGAGGTTTATTATGGTGCTTGTAAGGAACTCTAGTTTCCTCCCTCTAAAATAATGAGGATTATTGATTTAAACATACGCTGTGTTAAATGTAAAATTTATAAGTTTAATTGCCCCTATAACATAAAGAACTACATAAGCGAGAGAGAAATCGTCTAGGCACATGGGCTCGTCGGAAGCCTTGCAATTCAGCGACATGGAGTTCATAAAACTTTATGTGTCCATTTATAGCTGCAATTCTATTAGCGGTCGATTATGCTAACTGTGAGTGGAATTTTTTTCACCGGTAGTTAGCATAAGAAAATCTCTAGTACGAATAATGCCATATTAACAAGTGCAGTTGGTTTCAACTGATGGCTTTTGGTATAACTAGGCGGATGTGTTATATGGTCTACAAGTGCAGTTGGTTTCAACTGACGGCTTTTGGACATGGCCACTGAGCGGCACTGCATTGGCATTTTTAACTTTCATACCACTTTTTTTTGTACTAGTGTGTTGATCAAATTGGAATGTCACTAGAGAAATGTAAAACTACTGCAGACAAATTAAAGATATGTATAACATGTTAACAACACATGATCCTTTGCAATTTGTACCTATGGTATTGATAGCATTGATGTTTTGTTTCCTTCTGTTTTATGTGTGAGTTTGTAGTTCTTGAAATAAATGTGGTGATTCTTTTAAATGGATGACCTGTAAGGACAAGGCAAGGCAAGAAGTAATGGTGACCCAAGTGATGGGAAGTTGAGCGATCTATTGCCCAGATATGGTGCATTTGGCTAGTTATATGCACGGGCTCATCATCTTGTCAGAGTGAGATTAGGGACATAAATGATTTTCTACTTACATTAGCAACATCAGCATCATCATAGGAAAAGAAGACAAGGAAGAAGCTACTACTTTTATGATTGAGCAATCTGTGTGTTTCTATTATTTGGATTTTCCCTTCCTCCTTGTTTTACTTTGGGATTGACAATCTTAATCACTTTTTTACTTTGCTCCACAAACATGAAGGCATTTTCTTCACTCTATCTTACCAGGAAGGTAGGAAATATACACCCCTGTTAGTTAAAGCGGACTCGTGTATGCCTAATCTAATATATGGAGGGATCAGACACCTCTTTCTGTTTGAGAGATTCTAGCGACCTGATTTGAAACCCTCTTTCACAAGACATTTGGTTGTCAACGTACGACACGTCCATCTTTCTTTACAAAGAGGGGGTAGTATTGTCTCCTTGCTATTATATGTCATGGCATTATCTAAAAGCCTCTTCTTTGACTCTACTCTGGTATGTATCACCAAGTATTTACACACTAAGATCACCATGACAGACCTCGGTGATCTACCATGACTTCCTTGGCATCTCTATCACATGCTCCACCGATAGCATGTTCGAATGTTCCTATCCAAACAATAGAATTCTGAAAGTGGTAGATAAAGTGATATATAATGGAAGGAGTTGTAATATTACATGAAACAATTCATGAGTTGCATAGGAAAAAACAAGATGGAGTGATCCTAAAACTAGATTTCGAAAAAGCGTATGATAAACTAAAGTGGCCTTTTATACAACAAGTCCTCAGGATGAAAGGATTCTCACCAGTTTGGTGTGAATGGATTTCAAGAATCATGACTAGAGGGAATGTTGCAGTAAAGGTAAATGATAATTTAGGCCATTATTTCCAAACAAGAAAAGGAGTGCGGCAGGGGGATCCGTTATCTCCAATTTTGTTTAATATAGTGGTTGATATGCTGGCAATTCTTATTTCACGAGCAAAAGAGGCTGAACAAATTCAGGGAGTGGTTCCTCACTTGGTAGATGAAGGACTCTCAGTCCTTCAGTATGCGGATGACACTATCATCTTAATGGACAATGATCTAGAGAGGGCCAAAAACATGAAGCTCTTGCTTTGTGCTTTTGAACAATTATCAGGACTCAAGATCAATTTCCATAAGAGTGAGTTGTTTTGTTACAGAGTGGCCAAAGATGATCAAAATGAATACACACAAATTTTTAGGTGTGATATGGGATCATTCCGTTTAGATACCTAGGAATTCCTATGCACCATAGAAAACTCATGAATAAGGACCGAAAACATGTGGAAGAAAGATTTCAGAAGAGATTGAGTGGTTGGAGGAGTAAAATGTTGTCAGTAGGAGGAAGGCTTGTACTAATCAACTCGGTTTTAAGTAGTCTCCCCATGTTTATGATGTCCTTTTTTGAAATCCCTAGAGGGCTTTTGAAGAAATTGGATTATTTTAGATCTCGGTTTTTTTTGGCAGAGCGATGAGCACAAGAAAAAATATAGATTGACAAAGTGGGAGGTAGTGTGTACACCAAAAAGACCAAGGAGGCTTGGGAGTCCTAAATTTAGATGTTCATAATAAGTGCCTCCTAAGCAAGTGGCTATTTAAATTGCTAAACGGAGATGGTGTTTGGCAACAGTTACTTAAAAGTAAATATTTAAAGGATAAAAGTTTAACACAGGTTCAATACATGCTCGGGGACTCTCAGTTTTGGGCTGGCCTCATGAAGGTCAAGGATGAGTTTCTTTCGATGGGCAGGTTTGATCTAGGTGACGGGACCCAGGTACGTTTTTGGGAGGATTCGTGGATTACGCCATGCCCTTTAAAAACGATCTTCCCGGCATTATACAACATTGTGAGAAAGAAAAGTGCATATGTTCGGACTGTACTGTCTACGACACCGTTAAATGTAGCTTTCAGGAGATCTCTGATGGGGCCTAATCTGCAAGCATGGTACAATGTGGTGCTCATGGTTGCAAATGTTCATCTAACAAACCAGAGAGATCGCTTTGTGTGGAGATTGCATCAGAATGGGTTGTTCATCAGAATGGGTTGTTCATAGTAAATTCCATGTACAGAGCATTGCTAGGCGTTCAGGCTTTACCATATAACAATTTATTTTGGAAACTAAAACTACCTCTCAAAATTAAAGTCTTTATGTGGTATTTGTACAAGGGTGTAATCTTAACAAAAGATAATTTAGCCAGGCAACAGTGGCAAGGAGATACGAAGTGTTGTTTCTGTTCTTTCGAAGAGTCTATATAACATTTACTCTTTGATTGTCATTATGCTAAATTCATATGGAGAATTGTTCAAGTTTTGTTTAACCTAAATCCTCCAAATAGTATACACAATTTGTTTACAAGTTGGTTGGAAGGGTTAAATGGAAAAATGAAATCTAAAATTCTTGTAGGGGCAAGTGCTATTTGCTGCATGCTTTGGCTAACCCGTAATGATATCGTGTTTGACAAGGCCATAGCACCATCTTATTTGCAGGTTATTATCTTCAAAGCGACATTTTGGACCAGGTTCTGGTCACTTCTTTAGAAAGAGGAATATCGCCATTCACTGAAGATGGGTTGTAGGACCATTGAGACAGCCGCGATGGAGGTGTTTGCAAGACATGGCTAGAGATTTAGCAATAGAATTGCCATCTAGTTTTTTTTTCTTCTCAAAATTTTGTTGGCTTTATGGCTCAAAACTTTGTTTTTGAGATTCCTTGGACTTTTTTACGTGTATTTGTAATAACGAACAGCCATATGCATTAATCGATGCAGAAGTTAGGATATTAATATATTCTGTTTTCTAAAAAAAATCCAAACGACAGTATGCCATGGACAAAATGTGTTGCCATGCTTGAGTGTCACTTTACTCTGATACCTGTAAACGCTCGTGCCAAGATATCTTGTGCTACATAAAAGAGGCACCCTCTCCTCCGGTGTTCACATTAGCACGCCGCCTGTTCAGTCACTAATTGTGTATTCTGATGCAGACTAGGCAGGTTATCTAGAGTGTAGGTGCGACATGTTAGACCGCCAAGTGTTCCTCGGTGTCAATTTGGTGTCTTCATCCTAGAAATTCTATACAACACTCCTTGGCTCCACTGCTGAAGTGGAGTCCTATGTCATTGCCCATACCATTGTTAAGTGATGTTGGCTCCAACTAGTTCTTTGCGTGCTATGCATTCTTATTACTTCTGTGACTATTTTCTATTTTGACAATACTAGACTGTATGACAGCCAACCTAGTCCACCACCGTCAAACGAAGTATATCTTGATTTATATTCACTCCATCCACAAGAAGTAGCTTTGGTACAGGGTCGTGTGCTTCATGTCTCATCTTATCATCAGCTCATGGAGATGTGGTAGTTTTATAATTTATCTTTTGATGTGGTAGATGTTAATAAAGACTTGGGATAAACTTAGATCAATTATACTAAAGGTCAGAGAAATTACAGCAGCATAGAAATCCCCTAAATTGTGGAACACAAAGGAGGAAATAGTGTCAAGCATTCAAATGTTGACCCTACTGCATCAGTCGCATTGATCATTCAGATATGATTATTAAATCCTTCCAGGTGAAAGTGACTCCGATTCATGGGAGAAATCATTTTAAATCACTTCTTAAATGTGTTTGCTGCAACTGGTGGGAACCAAGTGCGTTCTCAAGATGGTTGCCAGCCCTCCCAAAGGAAAGACAAGAGACCCAGCACGAATTACTGCCATCCAAGCGTCTGCTCAAGCTTCTCATCGCTCCATGACAAGCGTTCATGACCCTGGTAAAACAAGATGACATCACGTACGGTTCACAACACAGATGATAAGCATATTCATGTTCGCAATCGCAACTTGCAATGCATCCAGTGTGTTTTTTATTAATAGGAGTACAGTTTAGAAAGAGATTACTAACCAACAAATACGCTAAGACTAATTGCAAGCGAGATGGAAATGGAGCTGGAAGGTGGCAGCAACGGGCAAGAAACGGCACGCGCTCCACCGCCGCCAGCGCTGCCATGTATGGTGCAGCTCCAGCTCTACATCATCGTCGCCGTCGGCAGGATCGCAATGAGCCGCAGCGGCACGGTCAACCGATGCTTCTTCTCCGCCCTCGACCGCCCGGCCCGCGCCAGCGCCCGCCCGGACAAGAACGGCGTCCGGTCCGCCGACACGTCGCGCGGGCTCTGGGCTCGCATGTTTTCGCCGCCGTCGTCGTTGCAGGCCAAAGCGCCGCTCCCCGTGCTGGTCTACTTCCACGGCGGCGCCTTCACGCTGCTGTCCGCCGCATCCATCCCATCCGTACGACGGCATGTGCCGCTCTGGAATCTGCCAAGTAACCCGGTAACAAATGCCAAGTCAGGGCGCGTACATACTTGAGCATATTGCAAGCTTTCGATAGCTGAAGCATATGGAACCGCTTTCATTTGATCGATCTCATATTGGTTCCTAGGGCATTGAAAATCCCCATATCTGTCGCCCTTGACTATAGAAGCAGGTGAGGGACTACATTTGTGCATACTGAATTTCTTTAAGATTTTCTCTATGTATGCCTTTTGTGACAGTCCTAATACCCATTTACTTCTATCTCGGTGAATCTCGATCCCTAGAACGAACGAAGCTTCACCAAGATCTTTCATATCAAATTTTGAGGACAAAAACTTTTTTGTTTCCAGTAGTAGACTGACATCACTACTAGCAAGTAAGATATCATCCATATACAGGACAAGAAAGATGAACTTCCCATTCTTAAACTTTGTGTAGACACAATTGTCCTCTACATTCTCTTTAAACCCAAACTTTCTTATTGTTTGATCAAATTTCAAGTACCACTGTCTTGAAACTTATTTTAATCCATAAATGGATTTCTTTAGGTGGGATCCCTTTCATTATTTCCTTCCATGACAAAACCTTTCGGTTGTGCTATGTAAACATTTTCCTCCAAGTCCCCGTTGAAAAATGCCATCTTTACATTTATCTGATGTAATTCTAAATCATAATGTGCCACTAATGTCATTATGATTCTGAAGGAATCCTTACATGAGACTGGAGAAAAGGTCTCATTGTAATCAATCCCTTCTCTTTGCGTAAAGCCTTTTGCCACAAGTCGCGCTTTATATCTCTCTATATTTCCTTGAGAGTCAAGTTTTGTTTTGTAGACCCATTTATAGCCTACTGTTTTGGCTCCTTTAGGAATTATTTCCAAATCCCAAACTTTATTGGCATTCATAGATCTCATTTCATCTTCTATGGCCTCAAGCCACTTTGATAAATGATCACTTCTCATGGCTTCTTCAAATGAGGTGGGATCATCCTCCATTTGAAATTTCTCAGTGTTGTACACTTCATAATCAGCAGGAATAGCTGATTTTCTAACTCTTTAAGACCTTCTAGGGGCCTCCACATTTAGCACATCTTCTGTTTGAGGCTGTTGTTGCTCCCCCTCATTTGTGGCAATAGGTTCTATAGGATCTAAAAAACAGGTTCCTCATCATCATTCATTGTTGCCACAGGCGGGATGATAACAGGTGCTGGCACCACAGTATCTTGCACTGTCGGTGCAGCAACAGTAGGTAGTGAGAAAAATGGCTCATGAATCATTGGAGTGGGCGCATACACGCGCTTCTCTTCAAGGTCAATTTCTTGAGCTACCATGCTCCCCCTTATCATTTCATCCTCTAGAAAGACTGCGTGTCTCGTTTCCACAAACTTTGTATGTCTATCTAGACAGTAGAAACGAAAACCTTCTGACTTTTCTGGATAACCAATGAAATGGCAACTCACTGTTTTGGGATCTAGCTTCCCAATGTTTGGGTTAAATACTTTAGCCTCAGCAGGACTCCCCCACACATGTAAGTGGTTTAGTGAGGGTACTCTTCCTGTCCACAACTCATACGGTATTTTGGGCACCGACTTACTTGGTACTCTATTGAGAATATGAATGGCGTTTTTTAACGCCTCCATCCACAGACTCATCGGTAAGGTGGAGTAACTTATCATACTGCGCACCATATCCATCAAGGTACGATTGCGCCTTTAAGCTACTCCATTCTGCTAAGGTTCGCCCGGTGTAGAATACTGGGCTACTATACCATTCTCCTGTAAGAACCTTACAAAAGGTCCAGGAACTTGGCCATATGGGGTATGCCGACTATAGTACTCCCCCCCCACGGTCGGACCTAACTATCTTAATCTTTAAATTGTGTTGGTTTTCAACTTCTGCCTTAAATATCTTATATTTATCCAATGCTTCTGTTCTTTCTTTGATTGAATAAATGTAGCCATAACGGGAGTAATCATCTGTGAATGTTATGAATGAATCAAAACCATCCACACTCTTTACAGGAAAGGGACCACAGATGTCTGTGTGAATAATCTATAGAATTCCTGCACTTCGTTTGGCATCTTTCTTAATTTTCTTTACATACTTTTCTTTTATGCAATCTCTACATTATTCTAAATCTGAGAGCTCTAATGGAGGAAGAATATCATTCTTAACTAGTCTTTCTATTCTCCCCCTCGAAATATGGCCTAAACGACAGTGCCATAATTTCGACAATGCATCGTGAGCTCTCTTTTGTTTTCTGTTTACATCCGCAGACGAGGATACATTCACATTGTCACACGCAACGTTCCTATCATCGCGTACAACATTCACATCATCACGTAGTGATAACAAATAAAGCTCATTTTATAAGATAGCAAGACCAACACATGCATCATTAAATGTTATCTTACATTTGCCATTTCCAAAATGGCAATCATATCCATCATTGTCCAAACATGAAACACTTATTAAGTTTCTCTATAACGAGGGAACATAAAGAACATCTCTAAGTATAAGTTTGAAACCATCAGCAAGCTCTAGAGAAAGATCGCCAACGGCTTCAACTTCTGCTCGGACTCCATTTGCGACTTTAACGTGTCTTTCGCTTCTTTCCGTAGTCCTCGTCGAACGGAATCCCTGTAAAGAATTAGCAACATGAACAGTTGCACCTGAGTCAATCCACCAAGTAGATTTCGAATACTGTACATACAGGGATTCATTTATGAACGTAATAATGTTATCACCTTTCTTTGCCATGATCATCTTTAAGTAATCGAGACAATTTTTCTTATAATGTCCCGTCTTCTTGCAATAGAGACATTGGTCTTTCTCTACTGTGAACTAGTTCTGCCGAGGCTTATGCAGCATGGGGCCCTTTCCATTTGACTTTGAGGAGAAGTTGGCATTATTATTCTGTTTCTTGTTGTCTTTCAAATAATTGATAGAGCCACCATTGGCAGCTTTCATCCTCTCCTCTTCTTGCACACACATAGCCATGAGCCTCTCCATGTCCCATTTCTCGGGCTGTATGTTGTAGTTGACAACAAAAGTGTCAAACTCTTTTGGCAAGGAAGCAAAAATCAGATGGATAAGGAACTCATCCTTGAGAGCCAGATCCACTGGTTTTAGCTTGGATGCCAAATTGCTCATCCTTAGTATGTGCTCTCTAATGCCACCATTACCTGAGTACCTCTCTGTTACCAACTGCGTTATCAGTTGGGTAACATATGTCTTTGAAGAGCTAGTGAACTGACTCTTTATTCTTTCGAGATACTCGGTGACGGTGTCACACTCTGGGATTGAGCCCACAATTGCAGACTCAATCGTATTCTTTATCACAGCCAAACACTTCTTGTTGGCAGTGACCCACTTCCTATGCTCAAGGTCATAGGACATCTTTAGGGATGCAAAATCCCTCTCTCTGGTTGCCCAAGCGGCATCAGCCTCGTTTGTCTCCCTCACTGGTGCCACAGGCTCTCTGGGACACGGTGTGGTGACTACCCAGTCCACCTCAGCCAAGATGAAGGCCAGGTCGATCTTTTTTCTTCCACTCAATGTAGTTATCACCTTTGAGAGTGGGGATTTCTTTGATACAACTCATCAAGTTGTATCCACCTGAAAACACAATTCAAATAGTGTGAGAACATAAATAATAACAATAACAATTGCATGTCTTAGTTCCAACGTTGGTCAAAATTAAAACATGCAATTGTTCTCTACACTAATTCTACATCACCGTTGGGCAGAAATAGAATTAATGCATGACAAAGCATCATAATATATTGCAATTAATCAACGTTGGTCAGAATAATAACAATATTATGATCAATTAAAACATATCTATTTTTCAAAATTAAATTCTCTCATTGGTTTGAATTTAATAATGAAAATAACATCTTTAAATACGTAGGGGAAAAAATAAACTCATTTTCTTGAATTTTACCCACAGGAAAATCCGCTTTTTCTATTTTCTTTTGAGCCAATTTCCATTTTCCAGGAAATAAAAAATTTTACTGGAAAAGGAAAAAACAAAAATGACTCAAACAGCACTGATCATTCGGCCCGGCCGGCAAAACAGCCCGGCCCACCACCTCTGCGCGACACCCGGCCGCACCCAGGCCACAACCTGGGCCTAGGCTGCCAAAGTCGCGCTGCCGCGCGCGCCCGCCTGGGCCGCGAAACGGCCCGATCAATCTCGGCCGTCCGCGCAGATCCAACGGCCAAGCGCGCGTTTCGCTCGGAATAAAAACCCTTCGCCGCACGCCCCCGAGGAAACCCTAGAGGCCATTCGGCTCTTTCCTCCCTTTCTCTTCGCCTCTCTCTTCTTTCTTTCCTCAGCGCGGCAGGAGCCAGCCACCGAGTGAGAGGCCGAGAGCGACGACGGTGAGCCATGGCGCCATCGCCGGCCCCCTCGCCGGCGTGCGCGCTCCCCAGCGGGTGAGCACGCCGCCGTCGAGCGGCCTGGCCGCGGCGCCTCTTTGGCCGGAGCCCGGCGAGCAGTGCCCTGGCTCGGCGTTCTTTTCCCCGTGCGCCGGCGAGGCAGTATCGCTGTGCAGCGGCGAGGTAGGCCACCCCTTCCCCTTCGGCTTCTCTGTTGGTGTTCGGATTCAACCGATTTGGGATGGGGATCAAAGTTAGGGTTAGGGTTTGACTGTAGTTCTTTTTCCTGAATTGACTGTGGGTTTTAGAGTTCGGTTTAAACGTGAAACCGAGCCCTCCTTCTTCTTTCTTTAACCCAGTTAGGGTTAGGGTTCAACTGAACCCACTGTTCTTTTCTTAGATCCGAACGGATCTAAACTGATAAGCTAGATCTATACCTAAACGAGGCTCTGGTACCATTGTTAGTACTGTAGGAACACTAGGATCATAGATTTAGCCATAGACTGATTCTATTCGGGATAAAATAGACGATGTACATCCTAGTGCTTGTAAAACTAAAGAGACAGAGAGGGAAGGGGGAAGGTACCGAACCTGACACGGCAGAGGGGGAGGGTTCGGAGGCCGCCATCGGGTTCGTTGATGTAGTATGCGCACGGGCAGCGACGGTCAGGGAAGACGGGTCGAAGATGCGGTGTCGATGGTGAAGATCTACGGCAGCGCAGTGCAACGGTCGAGGTACTTCCCGTCACTGACTGCGCCCCTCACTTAGATCGGGTTTAGGGTTTGTCGGTGGGGAGGTCGGCTCAGGTCAACCTCGTGATTAGAGCCGCCGGCCCCACCTCTTTTTATAGCGCAGGGTGACAGGGGCCCTCCAGCCATGGTGGGCTGGGCGCCCCCGATCAGGGCACGAATCAAAGGCCCAATTGAGCCGTTGTGTCCAGTTAGGTGAGAGATCAATCTAACAACCTGAAGCAGCCATCGGCGAGTCGCTTGAAGAAGTCCTCACGACCCGCACCCAGATGGGCGTGTCGAGGGTGAGGTGGTTCGGTTGGTGGGTGGTTGTATGGGGTTGGCAGTGGAGCGGGGGAAGACAATGCGGCTAAGGATGTTCTCTGGTGGAAAGTTCAGGCGAGAGCGGAGTTCAGCGGAGATGGTGTGGGGGCGGCGAGACGGGCAGGAGCGGAGATGTGGCCGAAGCCCTTGAGCGACACAGTGGTCGACGGCGAGGCACTAGAAGCTGCGTCCGTCGAGCCGTTTTAAGAAGGCCTCCCTGGACTTTCTGGCTCCCTCCATGTCCACCATGGCCACGCCCAGCTGCTGAGGTAGAGCAGCAGACTTCCGCCACCAGTGTCTTCTCTTCGCTTTTTGCCAAACTGGTGAAAGAGCATCAGGCTACGCCTCATTAACTCGAGATGGTTCTCCAAGCTCCCACGATCGTCAGGGTGCGGCTGCTCGGAGCTTGGCGCGGTGGAAGCCGGGGATCCTCATCGGGAAGAAGCGTCCGATCGAGCTGCTTCCACGCTAGCCTGCGGTGACGACCTAGGGATGTAGGCACTCGGTCAGGCTGGATTAGCAACGATTTCAGCTTGGCTGGTGCTACACATCCCGGCGGCGCAGGCTTGCCAGGGCTTGGAGCAGGGGGCGCGCAGATGGGCTGATGGAGGCAGACATCGGTGCATCACCAGATTCGGCAGTTGGTGGAGAGGACGCGGATCCCGAAGGCACGTCAGGGCTCGGCGTCGGAGCCCGCGGGGCCAGCGTAGACTACCGATCTGTAGCCTCCTCATCGATGGCGCAGTGGGGGCTGACATCATCCTCGGCTTCTTCTTCAGAGTCTTCGGCTTCTCTCCCTAGTCCACCAGCTCCTCGTAAAAGACTTCCTCTGGCAGATGGGGCGCGGCGGGCTTTGGAGAGATGTCCACGGCATCTTCGGAGGGGGCGCGACCGTCGGCCAGGGGGTGGACACCGGCGTCCGGGTGGTCGGCGGCGGGGTGTATGGTGGGGGCTCTCTCTCGCCTGGGCGTGCTCCCTCTATCTCCACTTCCGCTTGAATCTGCTTCCAGCGGGACCAGGGCACGGCGGGTAAAAGAACAGAGAACTGCCTTTTTTTTAAATAAAGTTTGCTTTACTGGTTGAGTAGCTTATCTTGGAGTCTGGTACCTCTGTTTGGTAATGAGTATTGAAAACGTGAGCAGTAAAAGTATTACCTTGTTCTGTAAGGTTATCCTTTTTTTTTGCGAGTAGTTCAGTAAGGTTATCTGCATCTAATACAGTAACTGTTAGCTGTTGGATACACATCTAGACATACGTGTGTCCTCGCATTTGATTTCTGGATCATGCATGTTATGTTCGTTTTGCCTGTTTATAACATCTATAGATCTATCATGCGTAACTTTCAGGATGATCAGTCGCAACAACAGAACAGATTATAAATTGTTCTTTGGCACTAGAGGTGCTTTTAGATCTCTTGGCTGGAATTGGTTGGTTCTTATAGTATATCTTAACGGTGTGGTGTTGTGCATCCCTTTGCTCGCACCAGAATTGTTCCTCCCACTTCTGGGGATACTAGTTGCCATTGGCCAATTTGTGTGTCCAGGAGCTCCAAGCCTACTAGCACGCTTTCCACTGCGGTTGCGGCGTGCGATATCATTATGGAGCCCCGTGGTTGCAATCATCATACTGCTGGGGCCCTCTTTAAAGCAATATTCTTTATCAAAGCAACAAGTATATGAGAATCAATATCAAGATTATTTCCATTTCAAACATTACAAGGTGGCCATATGTATAGTGTACGGGGTGCTGCTTGTGGTGGTGCTCCTGGTGACAATTAGCAGGATGAGGTTCACAGGTATCATCAAGCTAGTGAACATTATTCTGGGCAGGAAACAAGAGTTATGGCGTCTGTTGTTCTAAACTTGTGCATGATTGGTGCAATTGTGACGGCGGCATTCTCTTTCTACAGTGATTATTGGGATTGGTACGTGGCACTTATAATGATCGCAGTCGAAGCATCAACCCTAGTTTTAGTTTCATTTGGCAACTTTCAGGTACCTACAGCGGTGCTCCGATTGGTGCCCCCACTTATACGTTTTCAACACATATTAAAAGACTACAAAAACTATTGTAATAAGGAAGATGATGCTACACCAAGCCCCGCACCATCACCGGCCCTGGCACCGGCACCAAGTGGTGGTGCATGCGATCCTGATACGATAAACCTTGCACCGTCATTAAACATCTTCTATGGGATGGTACTTGGCCAAGGAGCACTGTATCTTGTGGCATGCGTGGTCGAGATCTTCTCATTCATCCCTCGAAGATTTATCATCAACCGTGGGGGATTCAAAGGTCAGTGGGGAGTAGACTCTGTCAATTTGTACTACTCATATGCCTTGGAGAAATGCATGGAAAGTAATGTGCTTGCTCCAAATATCAGCCTCTGCAGCTTTGCCATTAATTATCTAAACTCAGACTCAACCAAGAGGCAGCTCCATGGGATCCGGACTGCACACACCCTTCTACAGAGGGATCAAACCAGGACACAGCTCCTTGTGAAGCTCAAAGCATCGACAGAGATGATGACCAGAGTAATGAGAATGTTGCACCGGACAGGCCGAGACAGAGAGGATGAAACCATTAGACTATTTTCAGCGAAGGTCATTGATCAGCTTGCCAAAAGCCTCCTGGCCGTCAACTGCCCTGAGATAGTTCAGAATGTGTCTCTACTATTGGATTATGGTAGCCAGCGGAAGAGAGGGAACCCACTACTGGAAACAGAGACTTTGCCGAGTGCAAAATTCTTTGCCGAGTGTCAAAAATCGGGCACTCGGCAAAGACAGAATTGCACTCGACAAAGATTTCTTTGCCGAGTGCCGGCAACTCGGCAAACACGGGCACTCGGCAAAGGACTTCTTTGCCGAGTGTCAGACTCTCGGCAAAATCTCTACACTCGGCATAGGCTGCCCGTGAAACGGCGTCCTATCACGGCCTTCTTTGCCGAGCGCCTGCGGTTAGGCACTCGGCAAAGATTTTTTTTTTTGTTTTTAATTTCTTTGCCGAGTGCCCCAGATCTGGCACTCGACAAAGATTTAATTTTTTTTTAAAAAAATTCTTTGCCGAGCATCTCAGATCTGGCGCTCGGCAGAGAAATTTTTTTTATTTTTAAAATACTTTGCCAAGTGCCCCCTGGACGGCACTTGGCAAAGATTTAATTTTTTTTATTATTATTTCTTTGCCGAGTGCTTCTGTGGATGCACTCAGCAAAGAGGAAATTTTAAAAAAAAATTAAAACATTCTTTGCCGAGTGCCTGATGGCTGGCACTCGGCAAAGACACCCTTTGCCGAGTGCCATGCCCCGGCACTCGGCAAAGTTTTTTTGTTTTTGGCCTTCAATTTTTTTGTGCAGCCTTTTTAAAGCACCAGGAACTCCTAGTTACAATTTGAGGATTTTTTGTGGCTTTTGTTATATTTAGTTACTTTATTTCGTTTACTTGAATTTTTAGGAAATTAGAAATTTGAGCTGCGCATTAGTACGAATAATGGAGTTTAATGATTGAAAATTGATAGTCATGTTAGTGAGTGTTGTGAGAGATAGCGTATCGACATAAGCGGACCCGAAATTTCGGACATCTTGTTCACGAAACATGTCAGCGAAATTGCATGTGAAGTGTTTATAAATTCTATAAAAAGCAAGCGAAGTCGAAAATTATGAAACTTGTTGAGATGTACAAGATGATATCATATGTGAGAGCTATGATAAAAATTTGAAGATTTCACAAGATGCGTTGTCACGCTCTCGATGCTTACAAACTAGGACATCAATTTCGAATCATTAAACTCCATTATTCGATATCACGTAGTTCAAATTTCTAATTTCCTAAAAATTCAAGTAAACGTAAATAAAGTAACTAAATATAACAAAAGCCACAAAAATCCCCAAATTATAACTAGGAGTTCCCGGTGCTTTAAAAAGGCTGCAAAAAAATTGGAGGCCAAAAACAAAAAAAAAAAACTTTGCCGAAAGTCTTTGGGGCATGGCACTCGACACAGTGACAAAGGTGTCTTTTGCCGAGTGCCAGCCATCAGGCACTCGGCAAAGAGTGTTTTAAATTTTTTTTTAAAATTTCCTCTTTGCCGAGTGCATCCACAGGAGCACTCGGCAAAGAAATAATAAAAAAAAATCTTTGCCGAGTGCCGTCCACGGGGCACTTGGCAAAGTATTTTTAAAATAAAAAAAAATCTTTGCCGAGCGCCAGATCTGAGACGCTCGGCAAAGAATTTTTAAAAAAAATTTAATCTTTGCCGAGTGCTAGATCTGGGGCACTCGGCAAAGAAATTAAAAACAAAAAAAACAAATCTTTGCCGAGTGCCTCCCTGATCCGGCACTCGGCAAAGCCGCGGACTTAGCGGTTTTTGATTGGGGCGGCATCCACAGCCACCCACCCCCGCCGCCCGCCGCCCACTGCCTCCGTCCCCCACCACCTCGCCCGCTTCGCCCGCGCCGCCCGCCACCACGCCCGCCGCGCCAGCGCCACGCTGCTGCCGCCTGTGCGCGCCAGCGCCCGGCCACCCACCCACCCCGCCGCCTTGCCCACGCGCCGCCGCCGATCGCGCTGTGTGCCCGGGTAGCCCTTCCCCACCGCGCGCCTTGCCGCCGCTGGGCTAGGCTGGGCATGCCCGACTTACCTGACCCCGGCCGCGCCTTTTTTCCGACCTTGCCCTGCCCCCGGCCGCGCCTCGTGGACAACCCGCCCCGACGCCATCCGTGCTCGACCCCGTCCCCGACTCCGCCCGATCCCGACGCCGCCCGCCCCTACCCCGTCGCCCGTCAGGTATGCCTTCTCACTTATTATTGTCGAGGTAGTGGTAGTTGTAGTAGTATTAGTTGTACTAGTGGTAGTATTAGTACAACTAGTGGTAGTATTAGTAGTAGAATTAGTGGTAGTAGTAGTAAAAGTAGTGGTAGTAGTAGTAGTACAACTAATGGTAGTAGTTGTAGCAATAGTGGTAGTAGTAGAAGAACCAATGGTAGTAGTAGTAGCAATAGTGAAAGTAGTAGTACAAGTAGTGGTACTACTTGGATATATTCTTCTGCATGGATTGATATCCAAACTACATGGCTTCTGTTGAGCCATATGTGCTTGTCGGCCATCGTGCCGTTGTTTTTTTTTGAGTTTTGGAAACCTCACGTGTGCGGGGAGGTTTGCTAATTTTTTTGTAAATGACAGTATTTTGTTCTATTTTTGTAGAGAAGAGCCCGTCAGAGTTGAGTCGGAGTTCTCGCCACCGTGTCGGTCTGCCTGCACCGTGTCGTCTTGCCACTGCACCGACCCGCCACGGCCCCGCTAGCCTGACTCCGTCGCCACCCTAGGTATAACCCCTCTTTTCGTATCATTGTCGTAGATCGTGTAACCCAGTTAGGCGTCTCCCGTTCGAAAGAGATACGGTTGGAGGTATGCAGATCTTTGCATATCTATGACCGTATCTATTTCGGATTGTCCACGCTTTTTGGACAGCCCGCGGATGCGTAGATGGGTTAGTTTCCATGTTCTGCTCTAGTCCGAGATAGAGTTTCGGCATCACCTCCCTGTTGTTCTCCGGATACACACTCTTCTTTTGACAGACGCGTGATCCGGAGAACAGCGGGAAAATCTTTTGCCAAATACTATCTCGGATAGGAGTAGAGCATGAAACTAACCTCATCTACGATCTCTGGGTGGGATTAGGACCTATCCTCACCTATTAGACAGTAGGAACACCATGTAGATGCAATTGATGGTTACATTACTCGCCGATACATATGTTAGAGGATGGATGACCGTTAGTGGATGTACACGGGCTGGAGAAGTCAGAGTGATTACACCACGGAATGGATGAACAAGACCGATGCTTTCTTGAACAGTGCATTTGGCAACGCTGCTAAAGGACATTGCCTAGTTTTGTGTCCCTGCAGCAAATGTGGAAACAGGAGAAGGGTAAACAAGGTGGAAATGGGTAAACATCTTGTGAAGAATGGATTTACGCCGGACTACACCCGGTGGGTCCACCATGGTGAAGCCCATCATATGAGAGAGGAGGTGGTGAGACCACGGGTGGAGGCTTTTGATGCTGATGCCGGGGTAGCAGACATGTTAGATGACTTTCACCAAGGACAGTTCGATGAGGGACGTGAGAAGGAGAAGATGGAAGCAGCCGCACAGGCGTTCTATGATATGATGGACTCGACACAGAAACCCCTTCACGATCGGTCAACGGTGTCTCAACTGGATGCCATTGGACGCTTAATGGGGTTGAAGTCCGAGTTAAACTTAAGTCGACCTGGCTTCGATAAGATGTTGGCCGTGATTGGCACCTTGCTTTCGGAGGGCCACATTCTACCAAAGAGCATGTACGAGTCACAGAAACTCCTTCGAGCACTTAAGATGCCGTATGAGCAGATACATGCTTGTCCGAAAGGGTGCCTCCTATTTAGGAAAGAACATGAGCATGCAAAGTTCTGTCCAAAGTGTAAATCCTCTAGGTACATGGAGGTAGACTCTGATGATGGCCAGAAGAGGCAACTTACGATCCCCATGAAAATCCTATGGTGCCTTCCGTTCCTACCGAGGATCCAACGGCTATACATGACCGAGGAATCCGCGAAACAGATGACATGGCACAAAAATGGCAAACGGTACAATCCTGACAAGATGGTACATCCATCCGATGGTGAAGCTTGGATCCGCTTTAATGACAAACATCGTGACAAAGCAGATGAGGCTCATAATGTACGTGTCGCGTTAGCAACAGATGGGTTCAATCCTTATGGAATGATGGCTGCCCCATACACATGTTGGCCCGTCTTTGTTA